GGGAAGGGAAGGGAAGGGAAGGAAGGAAAGGAAGGAAGGAAACAATGAAGGAAGGGAGGGAAGGAAGGAAGGGAAGGAAGGAAGGAAGGGAAGGAAGGAAGGGAAGAATGAAGGAAAGGAAGGAAAGAATGAAGGGAAGGAAGGAAGGAAGGAAGGAAGGAAAGAATGAAGGAAGGGAAGGAAGGGAAGGAAGGAAGGAAGGAAGGAAGGAAAGAAGGGAAGAATGAAGGAAGGGAAGGGAAGGGAAGGGAAGGGAAGGAAGGAAGGAAGGAAGGAAGGAAGGAAGGAAGGAAGGAAGGAAGGAAGGAAGGAAGGAAGGAAGGAAGGAAAGAGAAAGGGAGAGAAGGTAAGATGGGAGGAAAAGGAAAAGGAAACACATAACATTTTGGGAGACTTTTGTAGTGTAATGAAAAGAAGACTAAAATGCATCTATGAAAACAGAGTACTTAAACTGTATGACTGTGACAGGAGAACCCGAGTCCATCCCCAGCCTGGAAACTGATGCTCTCAGCACGATTTCTCAGACCAGCCTACCTTGCAAGATGCTTGTTGTGTGGGAAGTTAGACAAGGAGCTGGAGTAGAAGTTGGGAGACCATCAATTGGGCCGCCTTGGTCATGAAGCCCAAGGATCATCGTCTTGGCCCAGTCATTCTCTCTTGGGGAGAAGGTGCCGGCAAGCATTTCCAAACCCTTTGCCAAGGAAACTGTATTCCTGTAGTCGCCAGGAATCAGGGGTGACCAGATGGACTGATACCAACAACAATGCAAGGAAATACCTCTGGCAACCCTAAGTGGCAAAGAATGCTGGGCAGTCGGTCCCTTTTTTTCTGCAGGACATTGGGTGCAACTTCAGTTTGCAGAGGGCTTGGCCAGACCCATCAGCACAACAGGAACAATGAGGGGATATCGACAAAGAAAGCAGAAACCACACAGGTGTCCTCGGGAGTAAATGGGGCTATCTCCCATTTGTGCTGCCCCCCCCCACTCCGGCTCCCTGGAAGCCAAATATGACATTAAGGGAGGGGGTGAATGGGGAGGGGGCACATAGGAGACAGACCCACACCTGGCAGGTCTTGGGGATGAGTACATGGAGGGCTGGTCCATGAAGTGTGATCAGGAGAGAGGAAGACAAAAAATAGAACAGAGTTGGAAGGTACCTTAAAGGTCTTCTAGTCCAACCCCTTGCTTGAGCAGGACACCCATGCCAGACAAACGTCTGTCCAACTTATTCTTAAAAACCTCCAGTGATGGATCACCCACAACCTCTGAAGGAAAACCATTAATTGTCCTCCCTATTAGGAAGTTTCTCCTTAATTTCAGGTAGCTTCTCTCCTTGATTAGTTTCCACCCATTTTTTTTTTCTTGTCTTGCCTTCTGGTGCTTTGGAGAATAATTTGAGCCCCTCTTCTTTGTGGCAGCCCCTCAAATACTGGAAGAGCTGCTATCATGTCACCCCTAATTCTTCTTTTCTTTAGACCAGACAAATCCAATTCCTGCCACGGTTCTTCACATGTTTTAGCCTCCTACCCCGCTAATCCTCTTTGTTGATCTTTCTGGCTGAGGAATTTAGGGAGTTAGATATTAGATTAACAGAGCTGGAAGGGACCTTCTAGGTCATCTAGTCCAACCCCCTGTCCAAGCAGGAGACCCTACACCATTTCTGACAGATGGCAGTCCAATCTCTTCTTGAAAGCCTCCAGTGATGAAGCTCCCACAACTTCCGAAGGCAGCTTCTGTGATTGTTCTCACTGTCAGAAAGTTTCTCCTTATTTCCAGGTTGAATCTCTCCTTGTTCAGTTTCCATCCATTATTCTTTCTCTGGCCCTAGAAAACAGCTTGACTCCTTCCTCTCTGTGGCAGCCCCTCAAATATTGGAGGACTGCTCTCCTGTCTCCCCTGGTCCTTCTCTTCACTAGACTAGCCATGCCCAGTTCCTGCAACTGTTCATCATATGTTTTAGTCTCTAGTCCCCTTATCATCCTGGTTGCTCTTCTCTGCACTTTTTCTAGAGTCTCGACATCTTTTTTAATACTGTGGTGACCAAAACTGGATGTAGTACTCTAGGTGTGGTCTTACTAAGGCTTTATAGAGTGGTATTAGTACCTCACCTGATCTTGGCTGTATCCCTCTGTTAATGCAATTTAGGATTGCATTAGCTTTTTTGGCTGCTGCTGCACACGGCTGGCTCATATTTAACTGGTTGTCCATTAAGACTCCAAGATCCCTCTCCCAGTTACTGCTATTAAGCCTGGTTTCACCCAGTCTATATGAGTCATAATATAAGTCTCTTTTTTCAGTGCCGTTGTAATTTCAGATGGTCAGTAAATGAAGGGTTATTAGTCAAGGACTAATAAGTAAGTAAAAAAAGAAGTCCTGTCCCTTTCTAATACTTGTAAAAAACGTTCAACTGATTTTATCTCCCATTTCTGCTTTTATACAGACATTTTATTTCCTACCTTTTCCCGTCTGGTTTCCAATTTAATAGAAACCACATTAATTTAACCTGCCCTTCTTTTACCCTCTTGCATGGCATCTAGCACTCTGTCTGGGCTCCTTCTAAAATCACAGGTTTCTTTGTTTTCCCTGGCACACTGCAGACATGCTTTGGATAAATTCAGGCCTTCTTCCTAGAATTTGCTTCTAAAGACGCCTGGCAGGAGCCCTGCAAACAAACAGGCGGAGATGTTCAAAACAAGTTGGCGTTTTTTTTTTTCCTCTTTCTGCAAAGGGACAGACTGTTTAGTTTCTGGAACTGGCCTGAACTAGCCCCACTGGCTGTTAAGAGCGGGGAGTTCACAATCAGAACTGGATACTGGAGCTGTGATAGACTCCAGATGAAAGATTTAGTTGCATCGAAACATTTGCAGACTAGAACAAAATGCTCTGATTCCCTGCACTGCTAATTTCATTCTGATGGATAAATTAAAGAGCTGTCTAGTAAACCACCCCTAGCTGCATTTTGCAGGTTCAGTCTGTTTTTAAAAAGCAGGTGTTTCTTTCCCTTTTAAGGAATGCTTCTGAAGAATTAAGCCTTTTTAAATCAAACTCATGGCGGACCTTCCTTCCTTCCTTCCTTCCTTCCTTCCTTCGGAAGAAATATCCATCTGGTTCAGTTCCAAGTGGGGACAAAGACATTGGAAATATGGAGGCTGATTGGAAAAACGGTTTACTGATGGACAGGACCACCTGGGTTTCAGGTCCTGGGCAGCTGACCACATGGGAGTGGGGAGTGACTGTTATTTATATACCCTCTCTTGGGCCTTGACCTTGACCTTTCTGTTCCTGTGGCAAGGGCATATGTTCTATTGGTTGCTGTCAGACTCCTTTGGGGCTATGATCAAGGCTGATGATAATCTCTTAATTCCTCAGCACCAAAAAACACAACTGGTTTAGCTTTCCTGCCTGACCCTTTGGGCTTTCTCCAGCAAATTCGGGATGGCATTTGAGCGTCTAAGCAACCCCCTGGAGCAGGGTGGAGATAAACTGGGTGTAGAGATCCTTACCATGATCTGGGACCAATTAGGGTTATTATTTGGGATGATTTGGGAATTGCAGAATTGGCAAATTTTCTAGGAGTTGATTACAATAATAGTTTGTTAACAGAGGGTGTTGGAATTCCAGTCTGGTCTTTCTCCAATTATTGTTTTAATACTTTTATGCTTTTTAATGTGTTCTTTATTGCTATTTCTGCTAACTATTTTGTTATTAATATAGTTTATAATGACAGGCGAACAATTTGTAGGTAGATTTAGTAGTCTAACAGTTTAAAATTCTTTTAGTCTGTTTTGCAAGGGGGGAAACTAACATTGTTATGGTATATTAAACAGCATTCAACTGGTATAAATGTTTGTTCTTTTTCTTTTAAAAACACTTTTTCTTTTAATGTTTTTTGTTGGGTCTTTTTTACTCTTTTGTCCTTTTTGAATGTTTTGGCATTTTGTGTTTTAACCTTCTTCAAACAAATTAAAAATCTAATTTTTTTAAAAAAAGACAGGCCTCTCTGTGGAAAAGGTTAAAATATAAGTTCTGTCTGCATAATGAGTTCTGCAAAGCAACTGCAAAAGGATCTGGAAATGTTCTTTGTTTGCAAGGCTGACCCTGCTAATCGGGTGATGGCGGAATGTTTTCACCCCTTTGGACTAACAAAGACCTCTACGCTTTGCAGACTAAGGTTTATGCAACATGCTGACTTTTCAATTGTGCTTTAGAAATCAGGATAGCGGGGTCCACACACAATGTTGTATAAACAGAGGCACAGAATCAAGATCACGTGAAGTTATTAGTGCCGCTTTACAAAACGTAGTAAGGCCACACCTGGAATACCAATTTTGGTCACCACACTACAAAAAGGATGCTGAGACTTTGGAAAAAAGTTCAGAGAAGAGCAACTAAGATGATCAAAGGCCTGGAGACTAAAACACATGAAGAACAGTTGCAGGATTTGGTTTTGGCTAGTCTAGAGAAAAGAAGAATTAGGGGCGACATAATAGCAGCATTCCAGTATCTGAGGGGCTGCCACAAAGAAGAGGGGGTCAAATTATTCTCCAAAGCACTGGAAGGCAGGACAAGAAATTAATATTACTTTTATTTTTCTTATATGTATCCAGGTATTCATAACTATATTTTACTTATACCTATTATCTTGTAAGCAATTGACAAATGGTTGGAAACTGATCAAGGAGAGAAGCAACCTGGAATTAAGGAGAATTTTATTCTACTCTATTCCATTCCATTCCATTCCATTCTTAATTCTATTCTACTCCATTCCATTCCATTCCATTCTTAATTCTATTCTATTCTATTCTATTCTATTCTATTCTATTCTATTCTATTCTAT